GGTCTCTCCCCTGATGCTTCGGCTAGAACATTTTCTTGCGTAATTCGTACACCCAAGGGCAGAAGGATTTAATCGCCGTCAGGTCCGAAGTCCATACGCCGCCTCAGCTCTGCGGATGTCTCGGGGGTATGGCACAGTGGAATCGTTTTTTGTTTTTTGTTTTTTTCTTTTGGTGGGTTCGAATCCCATATTATCCACATAAAATTTTTCTTTTTCTTAATTCATTTTTAATTAGATCTAAATCTTCGACAATAAGGCAATCTTTTAAATGAAAAAGTATTTATTCCTATTCGGTTGCTTATAAGCCTGTATAAGTTCAATCAGACGTTATCAGTCATATAAGCAATATCGATCCGCGAAAAGTAGAGCATTCTTTCCTATCTTTCCTGGCAAAGCTTTCTGTCAAGAACATTTACTGCACTTTATGGATCATCTTAAGTCCGCAAAGGACTAGTTGGTGGTGCCGCAAAACTTCTGGGTACTATTGCACATGCAATTTCTGCATTTTCTGACAAGGAAAATAAACAGCCACCCCAATTAATAATATAATATCAAAGGATGGTAAGATGAGAAAATTAATTGGTGATTTTGACAGAGAACATTTGGATATTTGGTCTTGCTGCGTCGTGGCTTTAGGTCAAAATCACAACTGAGTAGTGTGACATGCACAACACAAAACTGTTTATTTCATAGGCTAAAAAAGGGCAGAACCTGCAAATAATAATATTATGTAGAGGACACCTTAAGGGAGAAGATCGTCTTGGACAAGTTAAACGAACTTATATTTTTCTGTAAACATTGCATTATCTTTTGACTAACATTGCAACAAGGCATCTGTGCATGATACAGGCAACCCAGTGAACGCCTATAGAGCGTCTTGTTTTTCTAAAAATCCGCTCCTCCGTCCGCCATCTTGGATAAAACTCTCTCCGCGGCAGTCTTACGAACAAGTGAATTTACCCAGAACTTTTTTTTTTTTTTTTTTAACAGCTTTATTGGGAAACTAATATTACAATGTGTTGAATAGAAAATAATTAATAGTTACCCAGAACAGGACACGAGACCCATGCGAGGTGACCACCTCATGAAATGTTGAAATAATTAAACGTAAAAATATATGCAAAAAATATAACATTGTGCGTAAAAATAAAAATAAGAATGGAAAAATAACCTCTATGACATTCTCGAGAAGCAGACCAGGTACAAGACCTGTCAATATCAAAAACAACTTCCCTGTCTTGGACTCTGTAAGAAGCTAACTATGACTTGGGCTACCTGTGACAATTTTCCCTTGGACTAAAGAGGAACCGAGAAGGAATTGAAAATGATAAAAGATCCCGGATTTGGGCTCTATTTATACAGTGCGTGCAGTTTTGCACAAAAAATACTCCGGTAATGACGTCATGGAAGAATATTACAGGAAAAGACTGAACCGGTCTGTTTGTCCAAATGTCCAAAACAGAGAAATTTAATTTGTCGCACACATTTTATCTTCTTTTTTATATTACTGACTATTTTTTAATGCGCTTTCAAGCTATGATCATGGCGGTTTGAATGTTTTCAAGATTTTGAAATTCATGTTTTTATTTGTGTTGATAAATGGGCTTCGAGAGGATACCAGGACCTCATAACATCTGACTTTAAGTTTGTTAGGTCTCACCCTTGATTTGAGGCGGGTATTCTCCTGGTTCTCTGGTTTTCCTCCCGCCGCAAAACCTAACAAGATAAACTCGATCTGTGTGCTAGCCGTGTACTCCATTCATCAACCCAAACTTTGTTCTAGGGTACGATCGATAAACTTAAGGTTGAAACCAATCAACCTTTTGAGGCAAGGTTTAGGGATTTTATAACTTCTCTTTCTATCTCCATTCCCAGCACTATGTTAAGCGACTTGAAGGCGTGTGAAATATCGTGAAACTTTCTCATGTAAATTCTGCTAACAATAGTATGGCTAATAATACCAAGTGACCTTTACTTTTACATTCACGCAAATTAACAAAAGCCCACGTAAAGTTCTTAGGTATCATTCTATGAGCTTCGATTTGATTCATTGCACTTGACTTCTAAATCAGAGAAGAGCGAAGTCAAACATCCTTCCCGTTTGCGTCAACGATTTCATTCAAAAACCTTTGAGTGTGCCATGCTGCACGCACCACGAGTCTGGATTTCTGCGAGTATTTCTAACAGTCTTAGCAGATGGTTAAATCCATTCAATAACTGGGCTTGAAATTGTCATAATGTTTTTCCTACTCCCTTTTGAGGTTTAACTACATCATGAAAGTGTGCGACGTCGCACGCAATACTGTTTTGGACTGCGCAGCCCGCTTGCTCTTCCTTACGACTGGTCTACAGTTAAAATTTGAAGGTTGCATTTCTGTATACCGGAAGTTATATAAGGCAAGACTCATAGCTAATAGCAGTTTCAGTGAAAATAAAAAGTAAAAATTGCACAAATGGAATGTTTGGTCTGGGCCCGCAGTATCAATTGTGATCGAATTGAAATCGAATTTTCGGCTAATCTTTTGTCAGTGCGCTATGCCGGAATTTCGTGCGTGGTATAGCCTATCTGCAGCCGAACGTACGTAACTGTGGGTTAAGGCAAGACTACATGAGAGAAAAGTACGGTTGCACACAGGCTAGCGTGACAAAGTATCTCTATCAGTATTCGAGAAAAATCACCGATCTGAGGGCAAGCCCTATTTCCGCTTCTCGTTTCTAAAATGACCACTTTTCACGAAGGCATGCAAATCTTTTCACACACTGCGTGAGCGATCATGATTTTCTGTATAAATTCTATCTGTTTTAAGTGAAATTAGGTAATTGATGAAATTGATCCATTGGAATCTTAGAAAATTTTTTGACTAGTCACAATTTTTCACTAGCCACGCAGCAGGAGTAAGAACTTATGAGAGTCATGTTTTGCATGATTCACTGATTAGACTGTTGCAATGGCGAGCATTTCTCATAGCAGTATTCATATATTTGTCGATATTGAAAAAGAACCCGAAACAAGTGTATGGTGCACAAACATAAAGAAAAACCAATATTTTTATCCGGCAAATTCGGTTCTAAATCACACTGCCTTCCATCGCCCTGAAGTAGGTAATCTTTCCTATTAAATATTCTACTGACAAGCACGTGCAAAAAGGCGTAAGAAAAGCTACCACGTACGTGAGTCTCTCACATGTAGACGCAGCAGTAGGGAGTGACTTTGCTCAGCATCTTTGCCCTTCACAATGGGAGCCAAGAATTCTTCCAAAAGGCCCGGATCGCGTGTGAAGGGATGTTGTAATAATCAAAAGCCAGAAAAAAGGTTATTTTTTATTAACATGTTTACTTTTTGTCGACGTCGACATTCAATCTTGTAATCCTCAAAATTTAATACTAAAATTAATGAATTACCTGAGCAAATAGTTATATACTAGAGTGAATCGTGAAAAACTTTGTACTTTAGCACAAATTTGCACAAATTACTGTAAGTTCATTAGACCTACAAAACTTTGCGCTAATTTGTACAATTTTGTTAGTTAACTTTTTCAATGATATATATATAGCCTGCAAAGCAGGCGTTCTTGTGGGTTTGGGGAAAAACCGAGGTTTTGGGGGAGCTAGGATATACATGGTACAGTGTATGCATTCTACTGTCTCACTGATGGGTGAGATATAAAGTACTGGGGGAAAATTGGCGCCTTTATGTGACATCCGTTCTCGGAACTTTCTGTCTCGTTTTGAAAAGCGTTTAATATTAAAATCATATTTCAAATTTATAGCCAGATTTTTTTTAGATGTCAAGCATACAGAAATTGCGATTTTTTTCTTAAAGTGGCTTTTAATTGTATGACAGCGGACACAGAATTCTAAAATTGACCTATAAAGAAGGATCGTGATGTCATCCATCCAGTTCAGCCAATCAAATATCATTATCCTCTAGTACTTAAACCAGATTTATCGACAGACCTAAAAACACCAAAGGCGGTAAAAAGTCTTTCCAATGGCAGATTTGCCAATATTCTTCCTTGGCTATGAGCATATTAAGGGTTTTTTAAAACCCTAAATCACTTCCTAAAGCACTTAGGATCTTTCCATAATATTTTGTTTTGTCTAAGAAAAACAATTGTTTTATGTTTAATAACTTTCATAAATTTTGAAATAAAATTTCAAATGTAACACTGCACGTACTGATTTTGTTTGTGTTGAATTTTATAGAATTTAATGTTTTGCCAAAATTTGTTATTGAATAGGTAGCAGTTTTAGTATGAAATTCAAGATCTAAAGCAAGTCACAAGACTGCTTCGCTTGACCTTTGTGTCAACTTAGATTTGTCAATCACTTTCGTAATAAGAAGCCACGAGGATATGAAATGAAATATATTTATACATGATGATCTAATGAGAGCAATTAGCATACTCGTGAGTTTTCCCCTTACAGCTAATGACATTTCTGATCTGTTCTGTGATTGGCTGGTTGGGGGGATTACCGAATAGCAAAAAACATATCAAAGCGATCTATTGATAAAAGTGTATCAGTCGCTCTAGCTCTCACTGGGTTGCTGATGTTGATTTGATCCATGGTCATGTAAGGGAGTTCTGCCATTCAGTAAAAATTTCAACGGCAAGCAAACGAGAATCTGCAAAGTCTTTGAGTAGCAAGTGAAACTATTTTCTTGGAGGTCGCTTGCCAAGGATTTCGTCGCTCCCTCGGCCAGCGTTGGGTAAATAATCTTAAACGATTGTGGATCCTTCAAGTTGGTTTGAAGTTTGCTTCAAAGAAGAAGAAGGTGAAAGTGAAAGCTCTCAGTGACGTATCGTGATATCGTAGCTTTATAGCTCTGCAAGAGTTAAAAACCACCGGCAGTATCTCTGGGGAGAAATATAGGACATTCTTTTGAAGATTTTTAATGTACCATGGGAAGAATTAGAGAAAACACAGATGCTGTGCTCAAAGACGGCTACCTCCTGAAGCAAGGAGATGTCATCAAAGTCCAATGGCACTTGCGATATTTTGTGTTGACAAAAGAGTGCCTATGCTACTATAAGAGTGAAGAAGACTCGGATGAAGATGTTCCTAAGGGAGTGATCTTCTTCAACGACATGTCGCTCTTCGTGGAAGACATCTCTTCCGAGAAACAATCCAAGAAAAAATTTTGCTTGCGCATCGTCAAAAGGTCCACAAACAGCTCCAACAGAACTCTAGTCATTTCAACGTTTTCCGAGGAAGAAAGAAATGACTGGCTAGCCCACATTTTGTTGGCAAAAGCAATGTCTCTTGTCTGTGACCAATCGTGGATTGGAGGGAATGACCCGGAGAAGATAGAACAGAAATCCCCTACTGCGAGCATCAGTAGCTACAGCGACAAGTTTGCAAGTGCCAAGGAAGTCCTTCACAGATGCAAGAGAAGACTCTCTGGCTCGAATCGAGGTGGCTGTAATTTGGAAGAACTCAATCGAAGGTCTAAAAACCTCAACCCAACCTGGAGGCACACGTTGATTGACCTTTCGATCGTGACATGAAAGAATTGATGGAGGATGCTTTCTTGCTCGGTTTCTTGAGTGTCACTCTGGCATTAGAGCAACTAGCACCTAGCGTGTAAAACAATAATGGGTATTACCCTATAACTAGGTTAATAACATGGAAATTCCCTTGCTATAACAATTAGCTAAAGACAGTGAAAGAACTGTGCAGCCCTATAGTCACTCAATGCACGTGCCCTATTGATTCCACTTGGAAAGCTGTGACCACGAAATATTGACCTGAAATCACAAACTGTAGATATATGAATGATTATATTATGGTGAGAAAGAGGAATTTATTTAAATTATAGAACTGTATGTAAATATTCTTTGCAGAACACTTGATTAGTGTATGTTATTGCGAGATTCAAGAGATGTTTTGGTTTGAAACGCAACCCTAAAGAGGCAGGTTTGCCGTCAATTGATGAAGAAGAAGTGCTACAATGTTCTCACAGAATCTTCGGTTATAAACTTTTGTATTTAATGTTTAACCCACCAAATAGCTAATTTATTTAACAAGAAATTTCCCCAAAGAAATATTCTCAAAGAGAAGCAAGGTCTAGGAATGACATAAAAAGAGTTTATATCTAGCTCGGGGAATTTCCCAGCATACTTCGTGTCAACCACTGGGGCTTTGCCAAGAAAACGTGAACAGAATACTAATGTAAGTTGGTAAAAATTCTCATTATAGTTCCAATCGGATAAGAACATCCATGTTAAGAAGATTCATATTGTTGTATACGCCATTAAGATTAAATACACTTGAGTTTGGTTTTATAAAGAGCGGAAATCGCCAAAAAATCACCAAGATAATCTCGGGGATCGATATTTTCTTATTTTTAGTCAGTTAGTCTTAAAGTAGTTATTGTTAGGATATTTTGAAGTGTAAATATGTTAAGTTGGACCAAAAATAAATATTGAAAATGGAACAAAAAGTTTATGTGGTCTTTTAAGTTAAAGATATAATGAATACAGTATGGTACAAATTTGGACTTTGTACATAATTTGAGACAGGAAACCTCGACAAAGCAGGGTATCAAAAGACATTTTCCGAATATATAATCAAAGATTGAGTTTCAGAGAAAGAATACTGGGGATTTAATATCGAGGAAATGTACAAAAACAAATGAAAGTAAAAAAATAAGAACATCTGTTGTTTTGAAGAAAGTAACTCGACACCAAAAGTACATACATTTAGCTTGTTTTCGCCACTGCAGAACAAAAGCCAATTCTTGACCCCTCACCTCTAGGCTCTCTTCACCGTTTGGCATCATGCCATCTTTGTCTTTTGCATTGTGCTTATCTTGTAGTGAGACAGCTTCGATTGTTGTGACGACAAATGAATTGTCAGAGGAGTCAATTTACAGCTATTGTAGCTCTGTGTTTTTTAAGAGAAAAAACAATCAAATACCTTCTAGAAGTTATAAAAAATTGGAACTAAATTCAATCTCGTATGAATTTTCAGGGCAAAAGTAAAAGGTACATTGTTCTTTGTTCTAAAGTTATACCGGTAACGTTTAAATCAAAGCATTGAAATAGAAATCTTGACATCTTGACGTGGACCAAATATAGAAAGCTAAATAGTGTACTTAGGATCACATCCAGGCACCAGTCAGTCTGGTAAACACAGTTGAGACAGTAGGATTTATTTTGACAATGAGCCATGGACACGCCTCCCGAAAAAGCCCCTCAGGTCGACTTTACGGGACTTTTACGGTAGTTTTCGCTTTTGATTTGAACTAACCTTGCTCAGAATTTGCCACAATAAGATGGAACTCTAACGTTTTGGACCCAGCAGACTCCGCTTTGGATATAACCGTGCAGTTTAACAGCAAATGTATGAGAAAATTAAATTTGTCACCGAATAGCGTGTTTATTATTCTAATTAATCATTTCCAAGGTTTTTGGTAGAAATTTCGAGTGCGCCTTTCTTGGCTCGTTTTGGAACTGTTTTGATATAGAAAGACTGTTTCTGCATGTTATCGTTACCATACCTTGATGCTTCCGCTCGTTGCATCAAAACCTTTTTCTATGAGGATTCTCATTTCCTCTTACTAGCCACTAAACACCCCTTTTAAGGTTCCTTTAAAACACTTTTGAAACGCATGTCATATGTCTGTCAGTAGTCGATGTTTTTGCCAACTCTTGTAACGATTAAAAATAAGAAATGGAAGAACATTAGTCGTCTCTTCCGGGTAGTATTCCCTCTTTTTTTAACAATGAGAACGTTAATATTTTCTTATTCCGCTTTGGGCGACATTATCTGACTTTTAAACTGTCAGAGAATCCGTAGAGAAAGCCGGATTCTGGATGTACGAAAGAAATTCCAATATTAAGAAAAAACTATTATTGTGCAATGTTAGCCAACTCTCTAAATTCCAATAGCGCAGCGCACTGATTCTAAAAATAGCTTAAAGATTCGGACAATCAAACATTGCATTCTGTTTAACCGCTACGAGGATTATACGAACCGATTTTATTAATTTTACTTAAAGTTACAATAATAACCCATGTAAACTAAGATCAACTGCGATCGGCTGTGAAAATTATCTGCTGAAAGTAAACTTGTAAGTTTGTTTGTCCGAATTTCGCCTTTGTCTTCGTTTTTATGACGTCACGGTTGCGCTGCGCTATTGGAATCTAGTGGATGATTAGCCACTCTGTGGAACCAACCAGTGTAAATTTTCATTTACTTATTTTATTATTTATACATTAATTATCCTCAAAAAGCTTTAATTGAAGACGGCATAATGCGACGCCTTTACGACCAAACGGCGCATAAATGATTTTTGTCTTGAAGAAGATTTCTATTTCAATAATAAGAAAAATGGACACGGCATGGACAAATTAACCGGGCGTGGAGCTTGCCAGCGATATTCAATTTTTGAATAAATTTTGATTTCATTCGCTATTTTTCGCAGTACCGTGACTATCAAGTGCTCATTGAGTTTATGTAACATTAGCCATTTTTTTTTATATATATGCGCACGCGCATTACAAATTCGTACGCCGTCTATCTTTCCTTTAAATGCGCAGCTCTAATTGTTCCATTTCAATAGCTTTTTGATAAAAACATTCATAGCTATTGCAGACATTTAACCGCTATCAACATTCTTCCTCTCGACTGGTATCGTGATAATGATCAATAACTAGCTTCCACATGGTGACGGCCACTTACGAAAGGGGTCGGCGAAGGCATTCGGCTGCACGAGATAAAATATCACGGTAGAAAACAGGCTAATATAAACAAAACCCGCGCTTGTAGAGTAATGATTCAAGATACCAGTTGACAAATGATTTTGGTTCTTTTCATCTCTTGTCAGATAATAAACAGTTTGTTCAACAAGTTTTGTCTTGCCGAAAACAGATACCTTGGGTATGCTGTTCTTTTTCTATCAATCGGTTAAATGATATATGTATAATGAAAAATGCTGTCGAGAATAATATGGCGAGCATGGCAACTATGTGCAGATAGCGGCTAACTTGATATACTAGATCATTTATTCATCACCTCTCTCTCTCTCTCTCTCTCTCTCTCTCTCTAACTCTTTTCTTCTCTCTTCCTCCTCTATTTTCGCTCGCTCTCCCTTGACAAGTACTATTGTACAGTTTGCAGTTTGCTGTAGCTTTTGCGCTTTGGGATTTATATTATAATCGCTGATACTTGAGACTTTGTTCAATAGCCTGCACCCCTAGGCTTCCAACTCGACGGAGCTGCCGCGTCCTCACAGATCTAAATATATTTATACACTACAAGTCTAATCCCCTCATTTACTTATGAATATCTATCCATAATACTATAAGCCCACTTAATAAGACGAGGCACATTGCTATACAAAGCATAAGGACCATTTTGTTTACAGTCTCCACCGTACGAAGACAGTCCGTTTAGGTACCATCTTCCCTCGTTCTGACACACCAAAGGACCCCCGGAATCTCCACTGCACGAGTCAGATCCCTTTTCACTGTTTCCTGCGCAGATCATTGATTCGTGGAGTGTAGGTCTGCGATAGTTTCTGCAGTAGGACCGAGGCTTGATTGATACGGAGAGTTGCTGGAGAACGGGCGAACGATCCGTCGGGTTCAAAAGAAGACCCCAGCCAGAGGTCCAGCAGTTTGTACCTTGAAAATGTAATAATAATGTAATACGAGAGTGTGAAATCTAATATGCACTTCAAGAACCACGCCCCCTTTATAATGTGCCAAGTAATCAAGAGACATAGCTCTTTTTTGCAGACGAGTGCGCCAACAGCCCGAAACGATACCCGATACCGAAAGGCAGGGTGCTCGAAAAGGTCCTTTCAATGGATGTGAACTTCAATAGACCATGATTATTTCACATCCAGAGAAAGGACCTTTTTTTAAACTCCAAAAGGTCCTTTCAATGGGTGTGAACTCCATTAGACCATGATTATTTCACATCCAGAGAAAGGACCTTTTTTTAAACTCCAAAAGGTCCTTTCAATGGGTGTGAACTCCATTAGACCATGACTATTTCACATCCAGAGAAAGGACCTTTTTTAAAACTCCAAAAGGTCCTTTCAATGGGTGTGAACTCCATTAGAACATGACTATTTCACATCCAGAGAAAGGACCTTTTTTATACTCCAAAAGGTCCTTTCATTGGATGTGAACTCCATTAGAACATGACTATTTCATATCCAGTGAAAGGACATCTTTTATACTCGAAAAGGTCCTTTCATTGGATGTGAACTCCATTAGAACATGACTATTTCACATCCAGTGAAAGGACCTCTTTTATACTAGAAAAGGTCCTTTCACTGGATGTGAACTCCATTAGACCATGACTATTTCACCTTTTCGAGTATAAAAAAGGTCCTTTCATTGGATGTGAACTCCATTAGACCATGACTATTTCACATCCAGTGAAAGGACCTCTTTTATACTCGAAAAGGTCCTTTCATTGGATGTGAACTCCATTAGACCATGACTATTTCACATCCACTGAAAGGACCTTTTTCATAATTGAAAAGCTGTATTTTTTGGTAATATTAAATATCAGAAGAATGACATGTAAAACATAACACTTCATGACAAATACATCGGAAGTTCGCGCTCATGGCGATTATTTCCAAAACGAATGACATATAATCGAAATTAAAATAAGCATGAAATAATAGCCGACATCTTGAATTCTCGAAACACCGTCGGAGGTCACATCGGAGCATTCGTGGGCACATTCAGAATTAGTCCCTCTCGGTCAACTGAACTACGTGTGCCCATCTAGCCACGGCCCGTTTACTTCTTCTGAAATGCACACGCATGCGCAAACGTTTTTCTCTAGTTTCGGCCTGATACTCATGCCTTGGGTGACATGCGCAGTCGATAATTTATAGTTGTCATGGATACAATTGCATTATCATTTCCATCTCTCGAATAAAAAAAGGTCTAAAATCCACGCCCGCGTAAGCGCTTTACTCTGAATAGACCTCCAGACCATGTGTCATTCTCTAGAGTATCATTTCTTTGTTTAACGGTTGCGCTCGGTTGCACATTAAAGAAACATGAATATGGACACAACTCAAACGAAGAATCTTATTCTAAATGGAATGACACGTGATCTGAAATGGGAAAACATTACGTTCGAGCCTTAGGTGACATGCGCAGTTGATAATTCTTAGTTTTCATGGAAACATTTACATCGTAATCCCTACCTTGGGCAAAGAGCTTGGTGTCATTGGTCAAACACACCAAGTCCACTCGTCTATTTATTTTTGCTTGCCGAAAGAGCTTGATGAGGACGATATCATTCGAATATCTCACAGGGCTCCCATAGAGGGGATGTCTGTAAACAGCTATAGCAGGAATATTTTGCACCCAGAGGAATGATGTTGGAGATACCTTGAATGCGCCCAACCTGGAAAACGATGGCAGAGTTAGGGATGGTCTCAGACTGTGATTACCTGCATTTGTAGGTTGGTTATAAGATTCATTTCGGTGATTGACATCAAGTAGTATCGCGATTCTCCTATTAGTTTGATCGGAGCAGCCAATATAAACCCTTATAGAGGAATCGCGATAAAAAAATTTATTGCGATATTTGAGTCGTCAATACCGGTGTATATTGACGACGTTGGACAAAAATATATTCCCTATTGGCCTTCGTCGCTTTGCGACTACGACTGTTTTTTCTCAACTAACCGCAAATATAAACCCATATCGGCGGCTTAAAATCGCAATAAATGATAGGTAGAATATGTATACTCTCTCCTTGACAGCACATGATGGACAACGCTTGCCTGTCGCTGTCTGTTTGTAATGAGTTTTGTGACATTCATTCATCTGATTGATACCAACGAATAGAATACTCTCTGGTTAACCACATGACGGGCAGTGTTTGCCTATCACTGTAGGTCTGTAATCGTGATAGCACATGACGGGCAGTGTTTGCCTGTCACTGTAGGTCTGTAATGTGTTCTATAGGATCAGTAATATTCTGTACCTTATTATGATATCCTTGGGTCGTCTGATACGATCAAAACAGTGAGCTGCTGTCAATACCCATTCATAACCTATCAAAGCACCAGTACAAAACTGGAAGCCTCTGCGATTCATAATCATGACCTGCCACGGCCAGTGGCCTGGTTCCGAAGATTCTTTCCTTTGTCCGTTGACACTGGTACCGAACCGCACAGGGAGATCTGGTTTGTTACCGCACTCTGAGAAATTAAATAAAACAACAGGTAGCCCAAGCTGACAGAGATCAAGGTCAGTTGATAACAAAGGCCACTTCTTAAAAACTACAGAGATGCGCGACTCTAGTGTGAAGTGATAGTACGCGTTCTACACCCCCCTTTACGCCGTAGAGTTGGTTCCTTCTACGTATTCTGTCTGTTCGCGTCGTGCATCCTTAATCATTTGAGTTTGGCATGGAAAACAGCGCTGTTGTCATCATAGTCTTTCTCAGCAATGTAGCTTTAGTAAGAGTGCCTGATCAGCTTGTGGTATACAGACTAACAAAATCAAGCGTTGTATAAGATTACAAAGCTTAAATGTACACGTCGTTGAAGTTTGAAGTATGACGGGCTCTGCGCAAGTCGTTGGGCTAGCTCAAAGCTCAAAGCAATTTATAGTAAGAACCGAGGGTTCAAATGCGCAGGACATTAAAGCTTCGTGGGCTCAAATACGGAAGTCCCTGGGTTCAAATGCGCAAGTTATCTAAGGGTCATGGGTTCACCTACTTACCATATACAGGTGCTAGTGTGCTTCTGGGCTGCAACATACACACAACTCCAGCCAATGCATTAAAATTACAGTTATGCTGCCCCCAGTCGCGATGTCGACACGAAAATAACGATTTCTCTGTTCCCTTACACTGCACATCATCCATCCAAATTCTGCTAGCCCGCTTGCCTGGGTATGAATCACAGCAAGAGACCTTCACTGCTCCCGGGTAACCAAGCATACGACAGGCCACGTGACCATTGCGTAATCGCCAGCTGTCATCACAAATTGCACCCCACTCCCCACGGAAGAATATTTCGACCCGTCCCTCGTTCGGGGTTTTTCCGCCAACCAAGCGAATTCTTTTTCCTCCCATCTGCACTGTTGTTCCTTTGAAGAAAAATAATAATAAGATTATACAAAAGAATTCATATGTCATCCGCGTTTCCCCCCGTTAAGTGGAACTATGACATGTAGTATGAAATGAGAAAATATATATAAAGAGTATTCTCCTGTTATAGTGTCAACAGATATATATCCCATGAAACAAAGCAATCGAAAATAAAATCAAAATACATCGCAGGTCCTTTTTAGCCAGGCATAGAAAATGTTTTCGGACATTTTTTATTGTTTAAAAAATATACATCCAACAAAAATTAAAATATTAAATATCAAGGAACATCTGATCTCTAGAGCTGACATCTAGAGCCGAGGACAAACTATTTGCTCACTTAAAATCAGAAATGTGTTTGTAAATATTGCACCCTTTAACTGTACGTACTTAGAAATCCTGTGGTCCTTTATCAAGTAATCCATCTAAGAGTTAATGTGCTAAAGAAACTGCTTTTTAGGATTAATATTGATTATTGATCAAAAATAACCGGAGACCATACTCCCAGACCCGAATGCTGAAGCGTCGTATGGTAGCGCGAAGCATTTACGGCTACGCCAGAGATTTCGACCCCGACACCGCTATCCCGGGAGGAATTACAGACTGATCAGGAAGCTCGGCCGAAGCCTAAGGGAGGGGTTAGTCAGCCCCTAGACCGTAAATGATTAACCCCTTGCTATGACCAGCAGACCTAGTATTTTGATTTTATCGCTGATGACTAAACGTCCATTGCCATGTGGGATGCGTTTTGAAAAACTGGCTGTTAGACGTTAGCCTTGTTTAAAGTGAAACTCGGATTAGAAATTATAAATTAAGGTAATCCTTTCTGTTTGTTAAGGCACTACAACATCAGGCATTAGAAAAAATACAAATATAGCCAAGTAATAATAATAACGCATGAAGAAAGTATGTTGCGCATGCTATTCTTGGCCTGCGTGTGACGTCATAGCCGTCTTATTGGATAAAACAAACAAATGATTGGTCGCGATTTTTTTAATAAACTTCTTCCAATAAAGTTAGACACCGAAAATCTACTGAGAGCTGTCAGCTGAGATCAGTATACCTATCCATAATCCTGACCAACCTTATTGAGCTGAGTGGGTGAATAAGTCTAATAGAGGTTTTGCACCATCACGTGCCGGCGCCCATACGTACAGCTTGGGCTACCTGTGGTTAGGTGGCAGAACAATGAAATCCCTTTGCTCTCGGGAATTGAATTCTTTCTCATGTAAAACGATTGTATTGTTCCTGTCATCTAACATGGCTGCCGTCACGTGATGGTGCAAAACCTCTATAGGCGGATGTCGCAAATAATTTGCTACGAATACAAAATTTAAAGTAAAATTTAAAAGGAAAGTTATGCAAAAACACACTCCTGTCTAATTATTTCAGGATTCGGATTTTTGCAGATAGATTCGGGCATTAATTTTGACTTATCGACGGTTTTGCAAACCCCTATTCAATCCCCCTCTATTGGAATAATGATTTCATCTAATATCGTGGCGATACTTTTTCTTCTATTATTGACATGGACTGAGATTGGTGCATGCTAAATTTAGGAAGTTTTAAGATTCCGCAATTTTAAACCTATTGGCATTATATCATTTATTCTCTGTACATTAACATTACGATAAAATAGGTACTCACTTGGAATGGGTGTGTAGACTTTTCTCGGTCCATAGTAACACACCACGCCTGCTGCTTRTGTCTTGACATTACAACTGTGGGTACCAAGCCTCTTGTGCGCGCAGTCTAAAATGGACCGTTCGTTACCAGTGCACTTCACACCATCTAGCAACATGTTAAAAGTCCAATGAGGACCGTACTTGCTGCAGCATGACACACTCACGGCTCGCTCAAGTCCTAACATGCGGCAAAACACGTGACCAGCTTGTAGATTCCATGAGGTGCCACATATCGCTCCCCACTTCCCGTCATGACGTACTTCCGCTCTGCCCTCCCAAAATTTTGAACTTCCAACAATACGGACAGGACGAGATTGGAAGCCGATTGTTGTTGGCGAGGTGGGAGGTAGTGTCAATGAAGCTGAAGAGGGAACTAAGAAAGAATCACTTATATGTCAATGACTGAATGACTGACTAAGTGACCTACCAAATAACTCGTTGACTGAATGGATGTCAGACTGACTGTAAGGCTGACTGACTCATTGACTGGCCAACAGCCGACTGTGCGATCGACTGACAGATTGTCTCAAAGACTGGTTGACTTGTTGTCTAACTGACGTACTGATTGACTGGTTAACCATCTGACCAAGTCATCAACTAAATAACTCGTTGACTGAATAATTGTCTATCTGCCTCCTTCCCTATAGACTAACAGCGTGTATTAATGATCGGATAATTTTTTCTTACTTTTCTCTTGTATATGAAACTTTCCAAGCGCCTTAGACGAAGTCTTGTTTTGTGCTTCAACCTCACACACAACTCCAGCAGTCTCTTTATTACTGCAGTCATGTTCTCCCTCTTGTCGTCGCTTACAGTCCATCAACGTCCGTTCGTTCCCAGTACACCTTACATCATCTAGCCATATCTTTTTGGAGACACTTGGTCCATATTTACTACAGCACGATACCCTAAATGCTCGTTTATATCCCAACATACGGCAGACCACGTGACCGTGATTTAAGTCCCAGAGATCGTCGCAAACAGCTCCCCATTCTCCTCGGTAAAACACCTCAACCCGACCCATATGCTGATAAGGACCCCCTGACAGTCGAACTTTGACAGGAGGTGGGTAAACAACTGTTGAAAGAAAAAAAAATCAGTTTATTGATGTGGCGTCCCCCGAAAAGCAATAGAAGATATGTTATTCCAAAATCCAAGAATAGCTGGAATGACTTGTGTTTCTGCTTCTTATTCTCGTCAAGAACATGGACCTTAGTGTTGAGACTGATTCAATGTTCTTTGTATTTAACGAAACCATTTCCATGTCGGAATGACCTTACCAGATGCTTACCAGATGATCTGACAGGGGGGTTATCTGTGTGACACACCACGCCAGCCAGTTCATTAAGATTACAATTATTTTGACCCCACTTCCCATGTGTACATTTGGCCAACGTGTCTTCTGTTCCTTGACAATCAATGTCATCCAACCAGATCCGCCCTGAACGGACTGCAGAGTATTTACTACAACAAGAAACACTCCTTGCTCTCTTGTAACCTAACATTCGGCAGACCACGTGACCTTCTTTCATGCCCCAGTTGTCGTCACAGACTGCTCCCCATTCTTTCCCGTACAGAACTTTAACAGCTCCCTCGTTGGAGAAGTAGCCTCCGACCAGACGAACCTGGATGTCGGGTATGCCTAGAAGTTTAAAACAAAAATGAAGTGAAATGTCACAATACTGTGTCGCCTCGTTCAAGCTTAAAGTAGGTTCTTCTAAGGCAACATTTCCTTTTTTCAACTACATTCCCTGGTTAATGTCTACAGGATATCTGTGTTCACAGGGATCCCGCATGCATTTTTTCTTTAAATGTCCCTTATATGCTGCTCGGAGAAATTCTCTTTTTACCTCAACTGCATTGATTTGTGGTAGTTTGTGGCAAAATGTTTCTTTAAAAATGCAAAAACTTAGTTGGTTTTTATATGGCTGTAGAGACTTAGACTTTAAAAAAATCATGAACTTTTCACTGAAGTACAAAAGTACATATTAGCTACAAACCGTTTTTTGTTCACCAAAGATTTATTATTTTTTCATTTACTGTTTTCATTATTTCGCTTTTGCTAGTCTAATTTTCTTTCTTTGTACTGTAAATATTATGGATGTGAGCCCCCTTGTTAAGCTTTACAGCTTTTGGGGCAACTGTTTAGTCAAATATATTTAAATAAAAAAATCTTTAAAAAAATCATGAATAAGCTAACAAAACCCAAAACAAGTGCGCTCTCTTAATAATAAACAAACCTTCTGCTAAATACCTGGTGTTGGTGCAATTGTTACTGTGCCAAACAGACACTTCACGCTTGCTAAATCATACGAAGTACATTCATAATATTCCCTTCTTCGAGAAGGACAATCATCGAACGAGGTCTCGTAGCCTTGACAACGCACATCAGTCAGCCATATTTGTCCAGAGGCACTTGGCCCGTACTCGCTGCAACAGGACACACTACTGGCACGCTCGTATCCAAGAGAACGACAGAACACATCTCCATCCCTTAGTTCCCATCCTTTATGACACACCCCTCCCCATTCACCATCTCTAAAGACTTCTACTCGACCTTCGTGACGATTTGGACCACCGGTAATACGTAAAGTAGGTGCAGACGTGGGAGATACTGTGAAGAATAAATTATTTTTAGTTTGCAAATCAAATGGTTTTATCTCTTAATGGTTTTATGCTTAATTYCTTGCGCGCAACTGTTAAGATTCGCACCACATCATGCTCAAAGTCAATATTGCGCACCACATTTGACATTCCCATCACACCCTACTCATTTTCCTATATCGTACGCACAACATATTGACCTTCCTATCCCACCTTACTCATTGTGCTCTATAGTGCGCACATTATACTGACCTACCTATCCCACCGTACTCATTGTCCTCTATAGTGCGCACATTGTACCGACCTACCTATCCCACCGTACTCATCGTGCTCTGTAGTGCGCACATTATACCGACCTACCTATCCCACCCTACTCATCGTGGGCACATTATACCGACCTACCTATCCCACCGTACTCATTGTGCTCTATAGTGCGCACATTATACTGACCTTCCTATCACACCCTACTCATTGTCCTCTATAGTGCGCACATTATACCGACCTACCTAACCCACCGTACTCATTGTGCTCTATAGTGCGCACATTATACTGACCTTCCTATCACACCCTACTCATTGTGCTCTATACTGCGCACATTATACCGACCTACCTATCCCACCGTACCCATTGTGCGCACATAATATTGATACATTTAGAAGGATATATTTTCTTACCTCCTGTAGGCAGAGTAATGCCTTCCTTGTAGCACACCACACCGGCTGTTTCTTCCTTGTTACAGTCATTCTTTCCCCACTCTCTTCGTCGACAATCAAAAAGAGATTTCTCGTTGCCTCTACACCTTACATCATCCATCCAAAATACCCCACCTTTTATCGGTCCGTACTTACTACAGCACGACACGCTGACAGCTCGTTCATACCCTAATTGTCGGCATATTACATGACCATTTTTTAGCTTCCAAGAGTCGTCACAAACAGCTCCCCATTGGTTGCGGTAGAAGATTTCAACTCTACCTTCATTTGAAGTTCTGCCACCAGCGAGGCGGAATTTAGTTCTTGATGAAATCGAATCAACTGTTGGAAAATTTGTCTTAGCATTAGTAAAGTCACTCCATAACGAGACAGGACACGACACGCCACGTTCATGCAAGAGAATTACAACATCTGTTTAACTAAACACAGCGCTTAATTACAGATCATGGATATATGAACGCGGCACTGTCACAATCGCGGTGCAACACGACACGACACGACACGATACGACCACGTTCATGCAAAAGAATAACAACAACTGTTTTACCAAACACCGCGCTCAACTGCAGATCATGGATATACTGTATGGACGCCGGACCTTCACGGTCACGATACGGGGAAGACACGAACTGTAAGTCATTTTCAGAGTCATACAAAACCTACGTGTTAGATTCTTCGTACCTGGAGACATAGGTGTAGGCTCTGCCGCGTTAGTACAAATAACCCCAGCTTCTTCCGTCTTTTCGTCACAATCATGGACACCCCAATCACTATGAGAACAGGAGAACAATGAGTCTTCATCTCCATTGCATCCCACATCGTCCAACATCATCTTAAGCGAATGATTTCCTTTGAAGCTGCTACAACACGTGACCATTTTGGCTCGACGGTAGCCAAGCCTGCGGCAGACCACGTGGCCATCACGTGGATCCCAGTAATCGTCACAGATTGTTCCCCAGACTCCGTCTTTCCAGACTTCAACGCGGCCTTCGTGTGGGCCTTGACCATCCATCAGACGAACTCCCTTCGATTCTGATGTCGACAATTCGTTTTCTTAAAGAAGATTAAAATCAGTTTACACTGAATTAATAAACGAGTCCCAATACTAGAAGCGCACAGCTATGTCCTCTTGTTAATTCCCAGGCTTTGTATCAAATATGAGTAGAGTTTATGACGTATAGGTTTCTATTTTGATTAGAGGATTTGTCTCCAGGTTATTTGGTTTTTCTCCCTGTGAGTTAGCTGTGCCCTAAATTTCAATAGCCCAGAGGTGGTTTCAGGGTTCTATCTGTGAGTTAGCCCTGCTCTGACTTTGATAAGCCCAGAGGTTGTTTCAGCGTTCTATCTGGAGAGTTAGCCCTGCCCTGCTTTGATCATCCCAGAGGTTATTTCTGGGTTTGATCTGTGAGTTAGCCGTGCCCTGACTAAGATCAGCCCAGAGGTTGTTTCAGGGTTCTATCTGTGAGTTAGCCCTGCCCTGCTTTGATCATCCCAGAGGTTATTTCTGGGTTTGATCTGTGAGTTAGCCGTGCCCTGACTTTGATCAGCCCAGAGGTTGTTTCAGGGTTCTATCTGTGAGTTAGTCAAGCATTAACTTTGTTCAGTCTTAAGGCTGTTTCGGGGTTCTATCTGTGAGTTAGTCAAGCATTAACTTTGTTCAGTCTCAAGGCTGTTTCGGGGTTCTATCTGAATTAGTCAAGCATTACCTTTGTTCAGTCTTAAGGCTGTTTCGGGGTATTGATGAGATATGAATGGTTTTGAAATATATGTATAACTATTGACATGATCTACGGCCACAAGAGACTAAGCATTTAAGACTTACTTTTTTCACAATCCTGGCCGTTGCCTTGGAAACTTGATGGACAAGTACACTTATATCCACCAATAGTATTAACGCACTGATGAATACATTTATGCGTGTTATCTCTACACTCGTCGATATCTTTTGGAATAAGAAAAGAAGATGTTCATTTGATTTACCAGACTGCTTCAAAGGCCGAGTGGGACAGTGGGACGTTGCTAGTGACAGACGTTTTGAGTAATCTCTCACGTAGCAACTTCTCCTGCAATAAAACTATAAACGTTATCAATTGTTCATCAGCGAAACACAAACAAGTAGCATTATATTTTGCTGGAATTTCAAGTCATCGTACATATGTGTTATCACAAGTCGAAATGTTTTGCGCGCAAAGTTGTAGGCGAAGTCTCAAACCTATTTCAACAAATTCGGCACGCAATAGTTTCTGCTATTTTTATAAACAAGTGAACTCTGTTGTTATGATTTGCACGTTGGATTTTTGTGTTTTTTTTTTCACTGCCGCCAGTCAAAAACATATTTTTGATTGACGGCAGTGAAAACCAAATTTCAGCATGTAGCTCGCTCGAGTTCGCACGATGAGAGGGTAACACGTCGTTGGTTGCACCTTTACGTGTGCATATTGCAGATATATTACATTTTGAAGAAATATATACAATACTGATTTAGATCACAGCTGCCAGCAAAAGATATTGATAGTGTTACCTGCATCTTAACCAATTGACATCAGATTTTTATGTGTCTGTCCTCTTATTGACAATAAATTGCGTCATCACATTGTCAAAGAAGTGTGGATTCACGAGGCATAGCCGAGTGGATCCGCATACTACTTTGACAATGTGATGGCGAAATTTATTGTCAATAAGAGGACAGACACATAAAAATCTGATGTCAATTGGTTTTTTACAATAACAAAAACGATAAAAACTTCTCATTTTTAGCGATCAAAACAACCAATGGAAAGAGCGCGCGCTCGTTGACGTCAGCTTTATCTGTCTGTCCTCTTATCGATGATAAAAATTAACCAATCAGCGCGCGAGAAATTTGTAAGTTATTGTAAAACAATAAATGGTTGGATAAGTGGTCAACAAATACACAAACTAAGACATACATTGCAGTATACTCGAAGACTGCATCTCACTCACCGGTACAGTTTGATCGATCTTTTGTGAGCTGAAAACCTTTCGGACAAGCTACAAAATAGAAAGACCCGAAAATAAAAATTAATTAAATTTTCAATTCTAAATTTTGTCTCAAGTTATAAATTAAGCCTACAATCTAGAAATCCAATCCATTCTCTTTCTGACTTCATTGTTTTCGGTCTTTCTTTGATTAACGGCAACAATGATTGTCGCAAGACCAAAAAATGCGGCTTATTCACCTATTGGGCACTCTTAGTCTCAACGGGATTAATGAACGCTTTACTTTCAACTAACCTTTTCTTTTGTCTTTGGATTGTTTATGTTTTTGTTTCCTTTCCTACCTTGTTCTCATTGGTTTCTTTTGCCTTATTCTATCATATATACACTCCTTTCTACCACCTCTTTCTCTTTCACTCCGACGAAGGACTAGCGTCTGAAACGTCAGTAAGTTTTTTCATCTTTTTCACGGTGCATAATTTACCTTTTCATCACTACAATCTAGAATGCTAGTTGAGGTCTGCTTAGGGTGAGGATTTGGCCAACCTTAAAAAATTCTACTGATAATCCCAATATTTATCTTATCTTATATAAGCCATATATGAGCGTAATATGAGCCAGCTCAACTAGAAACCGTTGAATGCTGTTTCGACCCGAAACGGTTTCTAGTTGAGCTGGCTCATATTACGCGACTTGAAGTTGTGAAAGGCCCATTGGCTCTCTTATTCAGTCGTTTCATATAAGGTTCGTAATTTACCTAGTGCGCATGTTCTTATGTTATAAAGGGGTATGTTCTACCTATTACAATTAATTCCTGTAGTACTTACATATCAGTGGTGGCTCTGTGTTAAGGGTATCTTTATCACAAACTACTCCTGCCGTTTCTTTATAGCTGTCGCAGTTATGCGTCCCGAAGAAACTATGTTGGCATGACAACAGCGAGTTCTCTCCTCCTTCACAATTAACATCGTCTAAAAACAGTTTTGTGCTCAGACTGGAACCATACTTGCTACAGCAAGATACGCTCAGCGCGCGCTTGTAACCAAGGTGACGGCAAATCACGTGTCCGTTGCGTAATTTCCAGTAGTCGTCACACACTGCACCCCAAACGCCGTTATGGAGAACCTCGACGCGACCTTCGTGAGGAAACCGACCACCGGCCAGTCGGAATATCAGACCTATAACGATCATTGGATCATATTAAAACTTAAACCAGTGCCATAAAAGCTTATTTGGAGCATCAGTAACAGAATTCCAAAGGGTGTGAAATATGGATCCCGCTTCATGAATTGAATAGTACGTATTATGGATTCTAGAATTTATGAACCAAAGTTTTATGTTTCGTATTCCATAATATTCCATGAAAAACTCCGGTTTCGAGTTCCCTGATGCCCAGGGTTAGACTTGACTTTGTACTTAATATTCATGTTTTCCAGTGAAGGTTGTGCATTCTTTACTTTATCGTTGGAAAAATGAGACACTGATTTGAGGCTAACCCTGAGTAAATGAGTCTGCAATTTAGAACTCGAAACTGGTGTACATAGCGCGTGTACATAGCTCTCGTTTGCAACTGTTTACGAATGTGCCTTTGAGGGGGGAAATAATATTTCACTATTATTTGGCAATTAGTCTTCGAGCGGCGAGGTAAATATTCTCCATATATACTGAGCCTGAGGCGAATAATTGTTTTAGCATATACCAACTTGTGTACAGAGTAACTTACAGAGTAACTTTTTATATACAATAATTCAATAAAAACAAACAAACAGAAACTTTTAGTTTGCGTGACAAATTCACGCAAAACTTTTAGCAAAGCGTTTAGCAAACCTTTTAGGCCATACTTCGCTGCCTTTTTAGTATTTATAGGAATGGCATTTACTTTCATTTTTTCAATTTCCTCATCGGAAATTGTAGCAAAACGATTGCCGGCAGATGCTATTTGGTTGCCGACTCAATATTCCGAGATTCAGAGGTGAATATCGTACAATATTCACCTCCAATTAACCAATGAGCGCGCGCGTTCTTAGGAAGTACACAAGTTGGTATATGCTAATGTATATTATACCCTTTTGCACAAAGTTCAGGACAAAGATGTCTTTGAAATCCCACAGGAATCCCTCGAGAACATGCGCATGCATGCAAATTAAGGGTGCGTGCTATAACAATAAGTTCATCGTTTAAGAATCGTTTTCAGTGCGCATGCGATTTTATCCCGAAATTCTCATCTTCTTTTGTTTAATCAAGAACAAAAGGTGAGAATTTCGGTATAAAATCGCATGCGCACTGAAAACGATTCTTAAACTATGAACTGGCTTATAGCAGCTATCTTTCTTCATAATGATGCATGTCATTGCTACTTTTTGAGTCTCATTTGCTGCATTCAAGCAGGTTTTTCCAGCTTTTCCCCCTAAAGTCACTGACCTTCAGCTTCTTGGGCTCCCTCGAGAACATGCGCATGCAAAGTAAGTGTACGTGCTATAACAATTCCAATTCCACTGACCTTGAGTTTTCTTGGGCTCCTTACAGACCACTCCAGCCACCTCCTCGTTGTTACAGTTATGTTGACCCCACGCACGCTTTGCGCATTGCATGATGGAACTTTCGTGTCCTTTACACTTGACGTCATCTAGCCAAATCTTCTTTGAATCACTGATACTATACTGACTACAACATGAGACRCTGACTGCTAGACCAAAACCTAACATGTTGCATACCACGTGACCATCTTTTAGATCCCAATTGTCGTCACAGATTGCACCCCACTCTCCATCGTGGAACACCTCGACTCGCCCTTCGTGGACGTCTGGACCACCAGCAAGACGAACATTCTGCCCTTGTGAATAGCGAGAAATATAATAAACATACTGTCATACTATTCTTAATGACTGAGTTACATACGACAGAAACGAGTACGGGGATTCGGGATCATTTACTTGTCGTAGCGAGGGAGGGTTTCGTCATTAAACGTTATGTGGGATTCCTGTGGATTGGGCGGGAAAACGGTATATTGCCTTCCCCTCCCCCCATAACCGAGACCTGTTTGTTACACAGGGTTAACAGTTAATGCTTTTTGAGTAGACAGGCAATAGCTTCAGTAAAATATAAACAGAAGACATAGGAATAATGGGAGAAATTACTGAGAAAGTACCAAGGTGAAGAGAGAGATCTAGCTCTTCCGTAACTGCCAGTTTCAAGGCAGCTGACGGTATCTACAGCTAATCCCTTCCCCTCTACCACGAAAGAAATCGTTGAAAATTTGATGTCCAAAATTTAATTTTGAAAATTCTTATCTGTATGGTGCATTGCTTTCACAGCTATTATTATGCTAATTGCATGGAACCGTGGCCCAGTGGAAAAAAAAGACCTCAACTCTGTATCCAAAAAAACTGCTTGGAAACGACCCTGTCACGGTCACGGTCACGAAACGGCGCGTCACGGTCACGGTTACGAAACGGTGCGCCACGGCACGTTCATGAAGTGAGGATTTTAATATAATCTACTCTTACTTAAGGCTGACGACTTTCCCTGACAGACGACTCCAGCAGATTCTCGATACACGTCACAATCGTGTGTTCCCGCCAAACGCCGTCTACACTTGACCAACGAGTCCTCGTTACCAGTACAGTTGACATCGTCCAATAATACACGTCCTGACGCGCTCGGGCCGTACTTAGAACAACACGACACTCGAACAGCCCTCACGTGCCCTAGCATACGACACACCACGTGACCATCATTGATGTCCCAGTCATCGTCACATACTGAGCCCCAGATTCCTTTGAAATGAATTTCCACGCGTCCTTCTAGTTCATTACTTCCGCCGGTAATACGAACGAATTTCTTTCCTGTGAATAACAAGATAAACCGGTTAGTAACTGGGAATTAGATTTATTCATTTCACGTTGGACTTTGAAATTAAGTTTTCTAAATCACTTTTTATACAGCGTAACAGCTCGTGAGCGTCCACGATAGCAGATATCACAGCTTTGTTCGCGCGTGCGACAAGTATTGCCTATTCTACCACTCCCTTCCGTCAAGGTTAATGRCGCAGTCGCATTCTGACTATGGAATGTACTACTACTACTACGTCTAGAATGCGCGCAGTTTGGCTGCATATCTGGCGTTCCTAGCAGACATTCTAATTAAGAACCCCTTTCAGATGTTAAGTGGGGGTACAAATCTGTTGACCTGGATTTGTGAAACAGACGTTATATTGCTTAATAGAAAAAATTGTATTGTTGTACTGCCGTTAAATTGTCGACGTAAGGTTGTCTAAAGCTAGACGCTGTCCCGACACTGTCCAGAAAGATACGCATCCTTCTCAGTAGCGCAAGCAGATCAAAACACATTTTGAACATCGATAAAAACGCCACTAGTAAAATAATTATGTACGTGTTTAACTGTTAGAACTCAAAGTTGATCAAAGTTGATGATGATGATGTTGATGGTGATGATGATGATGATAATGATAATAATGATGATGGTGGTGGTGGTGGTGGTGGTACGTACGGTAGCGCATTTCTGAATGTGTACCCAATGCGCTTCAAACATCATCTAAATAAAGCTGCACTAGATTAAGCTTTGGATGGGGTTAAACGTAGCATGTCAACTAACCCCCAGGGTACCCCTTTAAAAATCCTCGAAATCTGTTTTGACGTTCCACGGAAGTTTCTAGACCGTAATGTGCGACGTGCCAAAACGTTATGGACCGCAAAGGTGAGGCCTTTTAAAGTATATCCGGAGAAATGAGCAATCCTTTATGAATATCTCTTATCAAACAAAGATTTCAAACCTCATCACAACCATTCTGCGCTACGACCTTCACAAAATGACTATTATCGGGGCATGAAATTCGTCCTCTTACGTTAAAGTAGATTTTCGCATCTAAAAACTTTTACTGCACGGTTAATTGAAATAGGCACGGTTAAACATTTTAGTAATATAACATATTTCAGACGTCCCCCCCCCC